ATATAATAATAATAGTAGTTAGGGTTCCTACCTCCCTCTGTGTCCCACTGAGGAAACTCCAGACTCATGCAGCAGCAGTAGCAGCTCCCCTACTAGTGAAAAATGACATTTTTCAAGCAGAAGTGAGTTTAGGAACCCCAAGCACCTTCTCACCCCCCCCCCCCCCACCCCCCCACCCGTGATCACGTGGTCACCTCAGGAGGAGGTTTCAGGTCAGGCCAGGGATCCAATCTGCAGTTCAACAATGGATCATGACTGCTTTCTGCACAATACCAGGTTAATTCAGGCTTATTTAAATGGCTGAGTTACATTTATTTATACATTTTGTGACAATCTTAATTTTAATTAGAACACATATCCTACTGATCATTTTATTCCAGCTATGAAACTGATGATGTTGACATTTGAGGTGAATTACAGAAAACTGACAAAAAGTTGGATTATTGAATAAACAGAAGAATCTCAGATTGGTTTATTGTTGTGAAACAGACCACATCAGCAGTGGCTTCATTTAAATAGACACATTTAAAACAGTTAGCAACGTTGCTTAGGTGCAGCTACATCGGATTAAACTCGGACTTTCTCTGACATCCATCATCCTGTCTTGAAGAATTTTCAGGAGTTGGGTGGCAGAAGGCAGTTAGATAGAGCTCTGACTTTTCATCTTTCTCTTGCAGTAAAAATGGCCGACATTACGACAATCCATCCACCATGGACAGTTTTAGATGGATACTTCATTTTAAAATATTTTTTATATATTTCCAACTTAGACCAAAACAGATTAACAGAAAAAAGCAGTAGAACATTCAAAAGTTGCAGCTAAGCATTTAAAAAGCTCTACAAGTCACAAAGTTTGCTGAAGTCTTGACATTTGGAGGACACTGACTCTTTTTGTCTTTGAACGTGTTTAAACATGGCGTGTTGTGCTGTTGTTTAACTATGTCACAAAACACATCTTCATTAAAAGCATGTGGTCACATTAGATTAAGCCTTAAATCCTCTGTGGTCAATCAAAGGAAGAGAGGCGGTTTAGACTTCCCCAAAAACAATAAAGTCGCAAACATCAGTTTGACACGTTGGGAAGTTGGCTGGTGGTTCCTCTGGAATGATCCCAGATTTCCATATTTGTCTCAACAGGCTGATAAGTGATTTTCACAGGAAGGGGTCACACATCACAGTTTGATTTTTTTTTAAAATAATTGTACAGCTCAGATACAGATTTTTTCTGTTTTTAGTGGCTAACAGTGTCCTGGTGCAATGGGGCCATCGATGTATGGACTCTATTACAGAAGGTTTGAGCATATTAATCCACAGCAATGTCACCACAGAGCTGTTAACGTGCAGTTCAGAGCACATTAACCACAGAGCTCCATCACATCAAAAACAACTCACTACATCAATGTCCTCCTACTTTCCACCAGTCAGAAGTCTTACTCTTGTTCTGTTGTTTGGCAGGGTTAGGACCTGGGAGCTGATGAGCAGCCACAGCAGCCCTTTTTAAATGCAACTCCCAGATGCGTATGTGGTTGTGAAAAAGATGTTAAGTCTGTTTGAGAAGCATCAGGCAGAGAAAACATCTAAGGAGATGCAGAAACGACTAAAACGGGGTTAAGAACTGTACAACACATTATTAAGAACTGGTCTGAGTCCAGATGGATCCTGTTCCAGAGAGTTGGTGGATCAGGGTAAGGAGAGGCAGATGAAGTGATGGATGCATCCATCATGCCTGCCTACTGCTTGCTGCAGTTGGTCAGGTCTAGGTTCAGCAACAGGATGTGCTCCAAGAATGAGGTCAGCTGACTACCTGAACATACCGAATGACCAGGTTATTCCATCTTCCCTGATGGCACGGGCATATTCCAAGGCGACAGTTAAAACTGAAATAGTGCTGCTGTTCAATCATGAACAACTAGACGCTCATGTCTGTCTGGCCACATTATCAGCTACATCACATGAACTCTGTCGACGCACCGAGGAAAGAATCTTCCTGAGTGCCAAATCCACCCGCTGCAGGACTCTGCTGTGATGTCATCACTAGCTGAATCCATGGCTGCTAGCAGGAACGTTTGGGTAGGTGGTCATACACCTTCCACCTGCAGGAAGATTCCAACTGGATTTAGGAATGGAGATTAGGGATGAAGACACTCCACAAGCATCCTCTTGTGTGCTGTAAACCAGGGCCTGACCACAGCAGAGTGGTGGAAGCTTACATTCACCCATACGACTGTAACTAATGGTTTACACACACCTTTTCATCAGTGTAAGATAAAGCCCACCTGAGAAAAGTTATTTATTGACATTTTCATGGAAACACAATAAAACATTTTGAAACAGGATGTACTAATTATTTGACATGTTCAACAAATTTATGTGCAATGACACAAGCAATGAAATGAGGATTATTAGTTGCATGAACAATAACTATTCCGCCTGTACAAGTACAGTTACGTTTGACAGACATGACTGACTTACTCAATTGCCTCATGTCAAAAGCACAAGC